CCTTACAGTTTCCCCTGATGGTCAACTCACAAAAGGGTTTAGATTAGCTTTTTACACTATTTCACCAAACAAGTTAAATTTTAACACACATTGCCAAAATGACAGAAAATTTTCTGAATTTTTTTTTCTTTTCTGGTCAACTTATGAGGGCTTCAGAATAGAATTCCATAATACTCCTAGACAAAATTGACTTATTTCAGTGGTCAACATACAAGATAGACAGGTGGTCAAGTTACAAAGGTTTTGCTTCTTTATATTATATAGGAAAAATTCCGTTCTTGATAATTGAGGTCAACTTATGCAGGTGCCCAACTTACAAGGGTGGTCAACTTGGCAGGTTTCACTGTAAACAGATTGGTTAACATCGAAAGCTCGTTTTACTACTTCTTAGAGTCTACTTTTAGGAGAATTTTAACTACCGAGTATAGGTGGAAAAATATCTAGTATTTGAGTAATTTTGGAATTCCAGTGTTAAATTTGAGAAATTATTGAAATTTTGGGAATTTTAATTTATTCAGGACTTATTTTAAACTTTCGTTTTCAATATTCCTTAGAAAACATTAAGAAAATTACTAAGTGATGATAAAATTCTAAAAAATGTAAACGATTTATGAATGAAAAGTACATATCAAGTCATTTTTATTTAAATGAAAAGTAATCTGATAAAATATTTGAGGAAGTAAAATTATAGAAACTACTAAATGTTTTATTAATAATCCTTTTTGCTAAATATGTAAACAAATATTCGAATTTTAAAGCGATGAAGAGATAATAACAAAAATTAAAAATCTTTAAATTAATCTTCCGTAATTTTTGAGTTAAAAATGTTATAAATAACTTTTGTATATGATTTCTTAATAATCACGTTTATATTCGAAACATCAAAATCTTGAGTGATTTTGAAGTGGTGGGTTATACTACATGCGTACACTGGTAAATTATATTGCCTTTTTTTCTTTTTTTTTCACAAAAAATCATTTTTTTATAAATATTTTGAAGCAATTAATAGATTTTTAATTGAAAAATATGTTTGACTGTTAATTAAAGCTTTTAAAGTTTAGGATGAAAGATTCTCATTGCGAAAGAGGAATTTTATTTTAATAACAAAACACAAAATTAACTTTCAACTTTTTTCCTTACTCTTTAATTAACATACTTTATTTTCAGTATTTCAACAAAAGGTATGTTATAAATTATAAGTTTTTTTAAACCTATTTTGATGTTATTTTTTTATCTGTATACTTTCAATTAATCAGCATTAGGCATAAGCAAACACATGACTTTGTGGGGCTTGAGTAAACGCATAGGGGCGATGGAGCTAGTGTGGAGGTATTCACATTGACCATGTCAACCTTCATCTATGAAAAGGTACCCCACCATAGAATCGAGTTAACATAATTTATAAGCTATAAATTGGTATTATATTTTTGTAGTGGTAGATACACTACAGTACTTCTCACCAGAATTATAACTGTGATAGAATTCAATGAACAGATACCACTAGTTGTGTCATTGCTGCTTTGTGAGAAGCCGGGAGATCTGTATTAAGATCACCGTACTTTTGAATGCTGATCATGAGAGCTGTATTAAGTTCACGGTCATGGTTGCTCCTGTGTTGCCTTTAGCAGTCTAGTGTATGTAGGTCGACGTTGTGTTTAATCGAGACTGAGTAGCAACAGCGCAAGGAAGTGGATAATGTCGCAGTCATAAGTAGAAAGTCAACTGTTCAATGTGGGCAATCCATCGAAGTAGGCGTGTTCAAATCGAAGTGGGAGTTGTTGTCAAGATAGGCCTGTTCATATCGAAGTGGGCATTACTGGCAAGGTAGGTGTGTTCGCATCGCGTCCGAAGGTCACCAATGTGGGGATAGTAGTTATGGACCATGTCAACTTTCATCTATGAAAGTTTAAAATAAGTCCTGAATAAATTAATCAAAATGATTTTGTCGAATGATATACCTTCACATTTTGTGATTTCATTATTAAGTAAAAGTTTTAAGAAAATATAAGAAAGATGTTTTATCAAGTTTTTTAAAACAATCTAATTAAAAGAAGATGAATTACTTTTTTCTGTGCATTAAATTGGAATAGAATAACAGCGAACGGTAACGTCTTCTCTTTGGCGAGTTTTTTCATTCCTCCGGTGAGAAAAATATCGCTAAGCCAAGCGCTCCGTGGGTTGTCCATTTCATTATCATGTATTAAAACTATGATTATTAATATCGATTCAACTTATAAAATGGTTCTTTCAAATAAATTAATTCCATCAAATAAATTAATAAGAATAATGATTCTCAAGTTTATTGATTTGCAATTAAAATGTCTTTTTTAATATAGTGCCATGCTTTATATAAATTAGTATTAAAATTAATATTTGTCAATATTTATTCTCCACATTAAACCATCTATTTTAAAAATATTATTATGAAAAAACTAAATAACTTTGTATCATCAGATATAAATCAAAATGCAGGTGGTCGTTCAAATCGTTGTTAAAAGAATGCTTCTGGAGTTAAAAGTTATATTAAGTACGGTTTTTTCTAACAAATTTGTAAAAAATGTCCCCAATAGCCCTTTTCTCCTCTATAAACAAAAATGCACTCACAAGCCTAAATAAAATCAATTCTAAGTAATACAGTAATCTAATAATAAGATGCTAAGCTTAACAGTGATAATTACATTCAATACAATTAAAATTTCTAAATACTAAAATTTTACCTTCATTTCACCACTAAGATCCACGTGATGAGTTCCATTTTCTATGCACGCTTGTATAACAGGTTCTCCAAACAATTTGTACTGAAAGAAATAAACATTATATTTACAACTGTTATTGATATATTATAAATGTTATGCCTTGTAATACCTATGTGAAAGTAAAAATAAGGGATATTTTAATACTATCAATTATTTTTTTTTCTAGAGAAGAAACTTAAAAATATCTTATAATCCATTTGGGGGTCCTAAAGTAATATAGCTTCGGTGCATTTGGTATTTGTTATCAAGTTTTATTTTTAATTAATAATGTATTCACCCTCCTTAGCAACAATCTCTCAATGCCAGATAGAAAATGTATCCCCCTGAATAACTATTGATCTAATGATCGAATCTTTACCTTCACAACTTAATGTTAATTTTACTTTTTGCATATTTCACCACATCTCGAGAACTTTTTGAGCGAATTGAAAAATTTTGCTCACAGTTCTAAAATTCACGTTTCCAATGATATTTCCAAGCAAAAAACAAACCTTTAGTAAATATTTGCTGTCTTTTTAATTATTTAATTTAATAATAAAAGAAAAAAATTTGAATTGCGAGATATGCAATTTTTACACCGTTTTAAAAAATTCAATTTTAAACAGCAAAATGCAAAGTTTTATTTCGACTATTAATAATATAATAAGTAATTATTGAAATTCTCTTTTGGATGGAACTCTTTGGATAAAAAAAAATTATTACTGTGTACAAAAAATTTTCAATTCGCTAAAAAAGTTTTCGAGCTCTGGTTAAATACGCAAAAAATAAAACATTTTAAGTTACGAAATCCGACACAGAAACGCACTTTTTCTGAATAAACATAACTTTTTTGACGGATCCGGATTTTTGACCCCAAAATATACGGGATAGTCACAATCGGAGAAATATGGTTCCAATAGTTTCATCAGGAGAGTGCTTTAAAATTTAGACCACTCAATGTTAATTTAATTTTTACGTATTTCGTTATATTTCGAGAACTTTTAAGTGAATTGAAAAATTTTTGAAAAAAAAAATGTAAAATTCATTTATCCAAACATAATCCCAAGCAAAAAATAACTTTTAATAAATATTGATTACTTTTTATTGTTTTATTTCAGATGGGTCAAAGAAACTTTGAATTGTAATGTATGCAATTTTTACATAATTTTAAAGAATGTAATTTTATAAGACAAAATAGGAAATTTGAGCCTCATCGATTGAATAGTTCCTGAGAAATCTAATTTTAGGAATCTGAGTTTTTTGAAATTCTCAGGAACAATTCCACTGATTTCGCTCAAATTTTGTATTTTGCCATATAAAATTACATTCTTCAAAATGATGCAAAACATTTTATAACCTACAATTCAAAGTTTTTTAATCCATCTGAAATAAAATAATAAAAAGTAATAAATATTTACTAAAAGTTATTATTTTTTTGGCAGGGAATAATGTTTGGATAAATGAATTTTATAATTTAATGCAAAAAATTTTTCAATTCACTCGAAAAATTCTCGAAATATAATGAAGAACACAAAAATTGAATTAACATTGAAGGGTCCAAACTTTGGAAAGCTCTCCTAACCAAACTATAGGGACCCTATATCCCAGATTGCGGCTATCCCCTAAATATTGGGGCTCAGAAATCCAAATCCGTCGAAAAAAATGTATGTTTATTCAGAGAAAGCACCTGAATTCGTAACTTAAAATATCGTCTGCTTTCATTAATTAGCATATTTGAGGTCACCCCCCACGAGCCATTAAGATAGAGTCGTCCCAGAACGTGAAAAATCAAATCATTAAATAAAAAGCTATTCAGGGTTGTCCGTTTTTTTGCGCAGTGTACATCTGTTTCATGCAATACATTTGCGAAACAGTGAAAACACAAAAACAATTAAACGCTGTTATAGAGTAATTTCTTTTCCTGTTCTGTCTACACAACTGGTAACATTTCAAGAGCTTTTATTATAAAATATTCACTTAAACTCTGGTTACGATTCATTTGAAGAGAGAGAATATCAAAGGATAGCAACAGAAAAAAAATAGAGCCAAAGATATTAGAAGTGTGATATTACGGTACGATATTTTCATTTATGTCGCACTAGAGCTGCACAATGGGCTATTCGCGACGGTCTGGAAAACATGCCTGAGGATGATCCGGAGACTACTTATGGCACATCCTGTTTTTACAGGAAGGACACATTCACACATCATCCATCCATCCACAGATCGTAATTTTGACCTGAACCAGAGCGTATGATGTTAGAAATGAGGAAAGTACAAGGGGAAAAAAAAAAAAGAACAGAATAGAATAGTGGTCGATACATGGGAGTTGAATGTTGAGTTTAGTTGAGGATGGATGATTTTTATCGTACCACAAACTGTTGCGAATTACAAAAGGTTTCACTTTTTATATGTAAAGTTGATATTAATCTTCAAATTCCAGTGTCGTCAATAATAGAATTTTTCCCCCTTCTAATATCAGAGTCAAATCATCGTACAGTACTGCGTAATAGAAGGTAACTATACGGTCTACATACTGATACAGTGCACCAGATAAAATAAGACGGACCACCTTGAGTTATTTTTGATCTAACGATCAAATCTTCACGTTCTAGGACACAAACTTACTAGCTTGGAAGGATGATCTCGAATCTCGTAATTAATAAAAACAGACGAGAATTTCAGTTACGAAATCATACAAAAAAAAGTACTTTCCCTGAATAAACATACTATTTTTTCGACGGTTTCGGATATCTGATCCTCAAAATATAGGTGGTAGCCGCCATCTGGAAAATATTGCCCTAATAATTTTGCCCAATAATTTTAATGCTAATTTTACTTTTTGAGTATTTCGCAATTATCTCGAGAACTTTTGAAGCAAATTGAAAAATTTTTCTCACAATTATAAAATTCGTTAATCCAAAGATAATTCCATGCAAAATATAACTTTTAGTAATTACTTATTATTATTTAATTGAATTAATAGTCGAAAAACTTTTGAGTTATAATTTTTTACATCATTTTAAAGAATGAAATTTTAAGTGGCAAATTATAAAATTTGAGAGAAATCAGCCAATTATTCCTGAGAAAATAAATTTTGAAAAAGTCGTATTTTTAAAATTCGATTTTTTAGAAAGTATCTTTTTCTCATTCGATTTCAGAGGCAGTACATTTTTGTCTCTGATTTCATAACTTAAAATATCGTCTGCACTAAGAAGTTAGCATATTTGAGGTCACCCCCTCAAACTATTAAGCTTGAGTCCTAGAACGTGAATGTTCGATCATTATATCAATAGTCACTTAGGGTGATCCATTTATTTAATTATTTATTAATTTTGCGCATTAGCACTGATTATTTATAGACAGCAATTTACTTTTTCATTCCCAATTTTTTTCAAAATCTGAAAATACTATGAAATAGTTGTAAATAGTTTATGGAAATAGTTTCATAAATTAATTTCTTTCCATATAAAGAAGAATACTTACTGGTCCAACACAATTAATGACCAACTTGCACCTTTTGCACATACTTGACAGAGAAGAGACATCTTTAACATCTGCTTCAATTATCGGAATGTTGCCGATATTTATACCTAATAATAAAGATTTAAATTTTCCCATATCTACAAACTACAGCAATGATTGAAAAAAATTCTTTATGCATAAAAGACGAAATAGTAGGAAAAGGACAAACAAAGTAATAGATGTAAAAAATTCATATCTGACTAACTATTAGTTTTATAATTAATTTTTATGCTTTTTATACAGCATGTTTCACAGTCATCTCCCTTAACTCCCTAGCTTAGTCCCTAGTTATTTCCCTAGTTTAACGAAAATTTTAGAGTCCTTGCGAAAACATTTAGTCAAAATAATGATAAGCTTAATGATCGGGCATTAATGTTTAGGCTAGGAAAAAAAAATCTGCCTTATAGAGCTGAGAAACAATGAAGTCCGAATGTGATTGTTAGCAACATCTTTGTTTTAAACAGCAATCATACAGGTTTTGAAGTTTTTGCATCCACTATCCTTTATGACAATTAGTTTGATTTTGATAGTGTTTTCTTTTTTATTGGCTTAAATACTGATTTACGAAGTTCCCATTAATGCGAATAGCTTTAGTACATTTAGCACATTAAGGGAATGGATTATGGAATACTTTGCATATTTTATCGAATGAAAAAAAATAAATAAAAATAAAACATATACAACAGGAAAATGCCGGATTGGATTAGCTAATACTATTTGTGGTAGCTTTTTTTTTAAAAACTATAAATATCAGTACCTAAAATAGGATTTTTACTATTAAATATATGTTCCATTGCATAATTTTTAGAAGATTTAATACTTGAAATAACATTCATTTTAACAAATTTTAAAATATAGTCCCTCTAGATTGAATTCATGGTTGCGTTCTCTTTTTTATCGGAAAATAGACTGAAGTTAAAGTTAGAATTTCGGTCTTCTTTATAATTTTTCTTACTTTCCTTTTATCATTTTTTTAAAAATAATTGAATTAAGTTTTATCTTTTGAAATAAGGATCTTATTTTTTTAAAACTTTTTTTTCAATAAAGCAATTATTTTAAACTAGAAATGTCATTTGTTTAAAAATATTCCAGTAGATTCAAAAGAATTTTATGTGTATTAATTGAAATTTCTAATAATCAAGAGAATTATGGATGACAGGAAAAAAAGACAGGATGCGTAAGATATTTGATTTGGTGACTTAAATCGAATTATGTTAAAATTATTTCATAAAACAGAATTTTCAAAGGCACTAAAAGAAGAGTTTAAACATTAAGACAAAAAATGGATATTGGTTAAATTTGACACTTCTAAAAGAATTGTTAGTACATAGTAATAGACACGAGCTTGTAATTACATTATCTGTAATTATTACTTAGTAGATAAAGTCTGCACCACAAACACCTACTTTTAATAAAGTGATTTAAAATCTTAGCAAAAAATTAAATCAACAATAAACACACATTAAACTCGTGTATATTATTAATATTTAAGTGAGGAAAAAATGAAAACGATATCAAAATCAGACGAATAACTACTGATGGAGACAAGATTTAAAATATTAAAATCAATTTAATTATCGGAAGAAATTTGAAGGTGTTTTTAATAATCGCATTTCACTTCATCTCAATTTACTTAGCAATAAAACAGGTTTTCACGATTTTTAATCTCGCCTTCATGTTAATGATTTATGTTACTGCAAAGATTTTCTTTTTTTTTCTAATTTGAATATCACTTTGTGAACTCTAATGTGCACNATCTGCTGGGAACCATGTCTTAACGATCAGTCCACTAAGGAACATATATCATAGTAAAACTATATATATATATATATTAAAAATTAAATAAGGAATTGAAATTCAAACTGAGCCATCTCATTATCTTGAAATTTGGCAGTTCAAAAAGTAAAGAAAAAGTTAAAAAAAAATTATTGCTCAATCAAAACAATACCTAATGTTTCTATGTTGTTTAAGGAATAAGTTATTGTTTATGAGTAGAATTAGAGAAAAAGAAAAGAATCAGAAAAGAGAAAATATTAGTGATTAGAAAATATGAGTAGAAATTTTATAACGCGTGTTAAGTAGAATAAAAAATAATTATGTTTCATAAAAATGTTAAATATTAACTGAAAATTTTTTAAAAAATATTTTGGCTTTCGCATAACCATCTATATTTTGGCTTCATACACAATAGGGCTGTTATATATAGAAGGATATCAGAAGTTGTGACTTTAATTTTTTCCATTTATAAAAAAAAGCAGCCTGGTTTGTGTTTAATTTTATGATCCAAAATTTTTAAGTCAGTAATAAAAAACGGGTGTCATTTTTATATTTTGATAGATTTTAATAATTTTAAAATTTATACTTTATTAATGTATAACTCCTATAAATTCCTCTTAAGACAATTTGATTTTGAAATTTTAAAGATAGTCGCAGGTAGTGTATAAATTATGAGAACCGCTGTACTAATTTTTTATTACTTGCATAAAATTTGATACCTAAACTAATTTGAGAAATGAATCAAAATTCAAAATTGGCTTCCTAAACTACAAAGTGGGATAAAAAAATTAGTCTTCGTGCGAAATAAATTTGCAAATTAACAATCAATCGTTTTAGTAGATTTTTGAAAAGTTTTTTCTTTCTTTTTTAACGCATTGCTCACAATGAATGATATTCTTATGTGGGACTTGTCAATAATAATTAAGAGGAGTTCTTGGTCCTTGTTTTAGAGTAATAGTAAATTTGAAAAATCAAAAAATTACGTCAAATGGATAAATTTAAAATTGTAAAAGGATATTTTTTGGGATAATTTTTGAAAATTTTGTTCTCACCACTTTTTTTTCCTCTTTTTTTTAAAGCAATGTAAACAAATTTGAATTTAATGAAACTTGTGAAGGAAAGGCATCTGGTGTAGAAAAATGAGATAATTCGTTTTCGGTCATTAAAGCTACTTATCGACTGCTCTGTAGTGGTATGAAATGATGCTTTTTTCGAATAATATGCTATTTTCATAAATGATGTGAGTTTGCAACAGTTATTCATGATTTTTATGTCAAGTTTAGACTATCCCTAGCGCCCTCTATATTTATTCTGAAAATGGCGCCAAATGTCAATATGGAGAAAAGCCACTGTTTTAAGAATATGAAAAACATTTGTGGCCTAATTTTTTAACACTTAAAAAATTACTCCAATGCTTCATTATTTCAGCTCAAGAAAATTGCAAAAAAAGGCGAAAAAAGCATTAATTTTGATAATTTTGATCTAGGTGGATAAATGTCGCCAAATTGGCGAATTTTAAAGAAGTTTAAGAACTTTAAAAAATGTGTGACCCTGATAATTGCTTGCAGCTAGATGGCATATGCAGATTATAGCTTTGCTTGGAGTATATGACACTTAAACTGTGGCTTTTTCTTTTCCTCGTCGAAAGAGCTTCGAAAATTCATTTTAACGTCCATCCATATGAAAGCAGAAAGCCTCGTTTATGGTCGTCAATGTGTTAAAAATCAAAATTTTAATTAAGTAAATAAAATATTCTACAAAGTGATTTTTACTATACTGATCTACAAACTTATACAAATCCTGTTTATTTCAGAATTTGGTCAGTTAGAAGCCACTTCGTGAATTTTGAAACACATAAATTTAATGGATTAATTTTTCGAATTAAAAGTACTAATTAATTGAAATGGAAATGATTTACCCTCTCCAAGGTATCCTTGCACAATTTCTATGGATTGTGACAATTTATCTTTGTTTCTTCCAGCAACAGCCCACTTTGTATTGGTTGATACAGAAGTATGTGCTAATTCTTCGATTACATACTGGCCTGTATATCCTGTAGCACCAAAAATAATTATATCGAACTCTCTATCTTCATTAACAGCCATTTTTTATCAACTTAAATCAAACGACTAAAGTGACTGCCGTTTATGAAATCTTAAAGAGCTAATATTTGAAATTCTTTTATTATCGGGTAAGGAACTGTCATCTACACTTTCGTAGTATTTTGTATATATTTTTATTCTACGCAACGAGATTGTGGGGAGTATTTGTTTGTCTTATCACTCACCTTATTTTCTAATCTATTATCGAATATTTAAATAACAAAAATGAAAAGGTTTGAGTTTATTCTCAACTTAACAGTCATCATTATACAGCATGAAGTTAACCTTGCTTTATTTGTCATCATTCAGTGCTTTGACTTCTTTTGGGAACTTTCTATCTTCTTTTAGATTCAGTTTGTTTTATTGCAGCAGATGTTATCCTTTCATGAATATAAATGTCTTTTTCTTGTATTTTTTCTTTACATAAAATGCAGCGGTTTTGATTTGAGTATTCAAAAAAGGTTTAATAGTGTTCATTGCTATAATGTTTTCAAGTATTAAAAAAAATAAAGGAAACAAAATTGAATTGTTACATTATCGGAAATTTGGAGATTAGAAATTAAACAAAGACCAAGATTTTGATATTGCTAAAAAAATATGTTGATTTCATAGTGTTAAATGCTTTTTTTTTAAAAAAAAAGTTATAGACTTGCGAAGTTCTCATTTTTATTGCGATTTTTAGAAATCATTTTGTTATAAAATACGGCCATTAGTTGAAAAAGGAGAAAGGGAAAAAAAAGAAAAGAAAAAAAAAGAAATGAAGATAGAAAGAAAGAAAAGCAAAAGAGACATAAAAGAATTGATAAGAAAACGAAAACACAAAACTAAGTGGCAAACAGAAAAAAAAAGAAAAAAAAGGGAATAGATATTTAAACAACACTAGCTAAAGTTACGCAATAAAAATAAATATTTTCTCACTTATTTTAAATATTCATAAAAGAAAACAATGATTCGTTATTAGCAATACGTGAATGAATGATTAGGCATGAAGGCTGTTTGCAAAATTCACCTTTTTACTCATTTTTTTCCTTCTTTATCGCAGCAAGAGTGATTTTTAAACACTAATTCTTAAACTGAAAATTTGCCATTCATATTTCATTGCTTTCCAATATTGAGTTGACCTGAATAAAAAAACTGCTTAGCTACTCTGCCCTACATTTTTATCACTAGATCATCCATCTAATGCTCTACTCTGATTCCTCGTAACTTTGAAGTTAACCCATATGACTGGTAAACTTCGGGATCAAACAGTGAGACAAATTTGGTTTCGCAAAAGATAGCTTGATTCACATTAAATGGAAAGGAAAGCAGAGAGCCTTTTATGTTCAGCTAGATGGTTCTTCAACCACTTTAGTTGTTGCTATAACAGTATACGCGAATTGAAAATTCAGTGACGAAACTTGAGGAAGGATCACCTCATCTGAAAGGCGAGTTTTTAATCTCCTTAGTCACCATGGCTTCATTGCTTAACTAATGTACTACCATTTGACATTATTACTAAAAATGTAGTCGGGAATCTAAGGCAAGATGAATTAGAGTTTTAAAATAAATTGTAAGCTGATCAAGCTATGCAAAAAAAATTACAACCCTAATCATTGTTTAGAGCCACGATGGCTCAGTGGTCAAAGCATGGAACTGTCATTGAAGAAAAAAAACTGGGGTTCGTTCCTCAGTGGTGGCTGCTTCAAAGCAATGGTTTCCAGCTTGTGGGGGAAAGCGACCTTTGCGTAATGTCAACCCTATTGCCGTTGTCAACCGTTGGCTACGAGTGGGATCCATGACCCTCTGGTCCACAGCTGGTTCATACAGGAATACTATTAACTATAATCATTAATTTGGGAAATAATATTTGAACTAAAAGAAATAAATAACTAAATAAATAAGTTTACATGTAAATCAATAAGCAAAAATCAATAAATAACTAAAAGCAAATATATAAACTAAATAAATAAATAAAATAGGTATTGAACAGTGCCGTTATCCACGCCCTCATAGATAACCCCAACAACAACCTTGGTGATTGGTCAAGAACTCATGACCCATTTGCTCTACTTTCTAAACTCATCATTTTTCTGATCAAATGTTAAATCAATGTATATACAAAAAAAAAAGAACATTTGTTTAAAAAAATATTAGATTTGACTTGAAAAAAAATATCTTGATTTTCGATAAGGAAATTATGTTTCGAAGATTTATTTCTCGGAAATAATTCGACTTACATATTTCGCAATTTTAGGTGTTACAAAAATTTTATAAATAATGATGAATTTTTTGTTATTATAAACCAATTAATTAAATGATTTATAGCTATAAACGTGAATGTTTTTGTGTTTGTATCCTGTTCAAATATACATTTATTCATTCGTGATGAGATATCGTTTGCTGATAGCTTAAAACTACAACACTAGTTGATTGTTGAATTACTACTTATCGACAATAGATCATTATATCAAATCGTTCAAGCGAGGCGAGTGGATAATAAATTATTCTTTCATAAGAGTGATATCACCGTTATAGCTTTTAAACTGTCGAAGAATACTTTGTCTCCGTTTTATTAAAAAATGATTAGAAATATAATATAATTAATAAATCGTTAAAATTATTAAAAATTATTTTTCCTTAGGTGATCTTGCCCGAATACCGATAATTATTTCAATTAGAATTTCAAGAAATTTCTTTATCGCATAAAAATGTTAATCAATCAATTTACATTTAAAATATTTACCTTTTCTAAGATATCTTTGCATTAAATCTAATAAATATTTAATTTGAAACAATCAATAAAAGGCTTTGAAAGAAAATAATCAATAAGCAGTTAAAATTATTAAAACAGTTATCTATTCCCTGGTGATTTTTCACAAACTCCGATTGTTGTTTAAATTGGTAGTTATAAAAAAAGTTCCTTTATGACGCAAAAATGTTAATTAATGAATTAACATTTAAAATATTTAAATTTTCAAAAGTATCTCTACGTTAATTCTGGTAAATATTCAATTTGAAATACATAATAAATATTTTAGACAAGAAAAAATTATTAAACAATTAAAATTATTCGATAAAGAATTTTTTTTACACGATATTGCACAAACTCAAATTTGTTTTCAAATTGGAATTAAGGATTTCTTTTTATAGGATAAATAATCAATAAGTAAACTTTAAAAATTTTAAAAGTTATCCTAGTACTAATTCTGAAAAATTTTCAATTTAAAACCTATTCAATTTTCAAATTACAAAAAATTAAATGAATTAAAATTAAATGAATTAAATGAGCCCCCTAGTTTCTTTTAAATTCCCTAAAATTTAAATCAACTATCAATTAAAATTCAAAATAACTTTCTTCTCTGAATTATCGAAGCACCAATTACGAACATTTTATAAATTTCGAGCCATAACGCATTTTTCCTCATACAAAAAAGATTTATCACACATATATGCATTTAAACTTAATACAATTATTTAATTTTATTAGAAGTATCGAAGTACATACTTCGATGGTTATTCGAATCGGAAACTAAAAGAAATTTTTAATCACACAAAATTGTAAATCAATTAGTTAGAGTTCATAACATTTACCTTTTCAAGTCAAATTTTGCACAAACTGAACAATTTTAAGCATAAACATGGTTTTTAAATTTACTAAAATTTAAAATGAAATTTCTTCTCCAAATTATCGAAGAACCAACTACGATAATTATTCAAATTACGAAAATTTTTTAATTTCTTTATCACACAAAGAATATTCATCTCGCACCTTACCTATACATTTATGCTAAATAAAAATTAAAAGAAATTTTATATCACACCAAAATTGTAAATCAGTTTATAAGAATTCAAAATATTTGTCTTTTCAAATAAAATTTGGTACAAACCCGTGTGATTATAAAATATTAAGCATAAAATGGGTTTTTAAATTCATCAAAAAATTAGTCAACTATTAATTAAAAATTAAGATAAAATTTGCTCTCCAAATTATCGAAGCACCAACTATGACAAATATCCAAATTATGATCCACAATAAATTTATTTATCATACAAAGAAGATTTAACACACACATGTATTTAAATTAAAAAAAAAACAATTGTTTAAGTTTATTGGAAGTATATAAGTACAGACTTCGATGATTATTCAAATTGAAAATTAAACAAAAAAATAAATTTCACAAAATTGTAAGTAAATTAATTAGAATTCAAAAATTTACCTTTTAAAAATTTTACACACTACAATTATTTACATTTCTAAACATAAAATGGTTTTTTGAATTCACAAAAATTTAATTAAGCTATTAATAAAAATTTTTTTCCAAATTATCGTAGCACCAGCTATGACTATTATCAAATTAGGAAACATAATAAATTTTTTTTTATCACACTTATGCATTTAAACTAAAAGCAACTATTTCATTTACATAAAAAAACATTACCCTCCCCTAGGTATCCTTGCACTATATCCAATGATTCTTTTAATTTTTCTTTGTTTCTACCAGCTATAGCCCATCGTATATAAGAAGATACCGAAGTATGTGCTAATTCTTCGATAACATAGCGTCCTGTATATCCTGTAGCACCAAAAATAATTATATCGAACTCTCTATCTTCATTAACAGCCATTTTTTTGAATCATATAAAAGCAAATAAGAAGTCTGTCGATAGTCTGCAGAAAAAGAAACGCATTTTTTTTCAAGGACAGCATTACCGGTTACCAGTGGTTACCTATCAACAGCCTGGGAGCTGTCAAGGGTTGAAATTATTCATTAGAAACGGATTTGATGCGTTGGAGCTCATGTGGTACGCTATGATAAGAAAGAAAGTAAAAAATAAAAATGTATGCAAAAAGCGGTTAGGAAAAATATTAAAGAAAAAAAAAACTTGTCAGGTGTGTTTAAATTTATTTATATTGAATTTGTGAATGTAGTGTCCTTCCTTTTCTGTAAAATTAAATGAAGATTGGATTGACATTTCCTACAAAAACAGCACTAATGACATTTTTTTAAAAAGAAAAATAATATAAAATTGGTTGAAAATTAAAAATGAAATAATATATTTCGCATAATAAAAATAAATTAGGAGCAGAAACATAAAGTGTCAAATTACTTCCTTTATAGGATGTTTTTTAAAAATTATATAACTTGATTATGAAATTTCACTATTATTATTTTTGTTATATT